TGAAGCGTGTTTAGACCACCCTAGCCTCATTCCCTCCTGAACCAATAGTCATCCTTCCTGATGAGATTCTGAGCAGACAATGCAGCTCGGTTTCAGCCCCTGAGATGAGACTTGACATCATGTTTAAGATGGATGCAGTATAAAGAGAACTTCGCCAGGAGTCCTCGGATCTGAGTTTCAGTTCTTGCACCACCACTTACTAACTGGGACAGCAGGACAGTGAGGGCCTCCGGCAAAGAGGAACCAAGTGTATTCCCTATAGAAATGGCAAATGAGCTTTGAGACTAAAGAGACTTGGGAGTTGCCATGAAATCCCACAAGAGTTGTTTTTATCCTCTCAGATGTGTACAGAAGATGAGATAATGAGGCCCTGCTAGATCGTGTTCTCCCTGACAAGATGGATTTTCCTGGGGTATCTGGGGACTGTCCCAGGAGCTGATTCATGATTCAGGGAGAACCTTTGTGTTCACTGCATCCCTCCCACGGAAACATCACCAAATCGTTTTAAATATCCCATTGGTTTGCCTACTAAGAAGAAAGCTCAAATCTGTCAGCTACATTCATCTATTTGAGCAATCTTAGCTGCCTTCTGCAAAATGCCTCGATGACCTTAGATTAGTTTGATTCCAAATCTAAGACGAATCCAACCGGATTATTGCACAGGTAATTAAGATGTAATTGTGATCTTGGTCATGTTGAAAGGATACTCGCGCTGAAGTAATGTTCACATGATCTAGGGTAGGTGAAATTGGCAGAGAATCATGCCATTGTCATTGAAACTTGTCATTCAATGGACCATGTCCAGAATGGGATTTGAGCTCTTGTATGAAATACACAAGTAAGACTGGGTCATTTGGGTGAGGGGAGGGGGATATACAGCTGTAATCTCCTCTGGTTTATGTGTCACTAGGTAAATTTTCTAAAATGCAAACAGTTTCATGGGGCAGGAGTGAGGACTAGACTGCAGAGCTTAGACCAAAAACTTCACTGTAAATTACTGTACTTCTGGTAATGATGCTGGAGGTGAGATTAATCACACATACTAGAGCCTTGGCTTTGGAATAAGACAGAGCTGAATACGAATTTGGACTTTTTCATTGACTAGTTATGTGACCTTGGCCAACTTACTTAACTATTCATAGCCCAAATTTCCTCCAGGACAAAATAATACTTCATTATAGAGTCATTGTGAGTATTATTTGAGATAATGCATGTAGAATGCTTAACATCCTGATTGACACAGAGCATATGCTCAATAAATGGCTACGAGTATCAGGAAAAGCAGCACAACATAGTGGCTCGACACCCCAATTCTGGGGTAAAGGAGACCAAGGCTAAGATCTAAATATCTTCTCAGTCTAGCTATGAAACCTTAGGCAGAATATGTAATGTTGCAAAGCCTTGGTTTCCTCTACTGTAAAATAAAGATAAATATTCCTCTCTTGTAATGTTGTCGTCATGTTGAAATTAAATAAAGGCTTTGCAGTGCTTAGCATGTTGCCTGACTCAGGCCAAGAGTCAGTAAATGTTGAGAATAATATTTTGAAACAGCAATCCCAATAAGGTGAGGAGAGTTAACTGTGTTGAGCTCCTTCATTCTCCCCAGTAGACTCAAACTTCGGAAGCAAGAGATTGAAGTTTGAGAGAAGGTACCAAGTTAAAGTAAGCACAAGATTTAGGGGTCATTTCTTCTCTGAAGGATGCCCCCTGGTAAGATTGTTTCTCTTTCTCTACTCCCTCCAGAAATCTCATATTTTTCTACATTACGTGTTACAGTCAAAACATATTACAAGTATTAATATCAACCCATGAGTGTCCCTAGACCCTCTTAAAATGTCTAGTGCCCATAAACCTTTGCTTTCCCTCTTGTAAACTGTTCTGGGGTTCAGGGAGTCCATTGCTGCCCTCTACTCTGGGCCCAAAACAAGCTACTGGATCTGAAAATCCTTATTAAATAAGATCATATAAAACTGATTGTCACCAGCCTGCTTTTGATTTTTCCCTCTGGGAAATATTCTGGAAATTGCTTTCATGGAATATAAGGCACTCTATCACATTAGACAAAGATTTATTCAGGGTTTCCAAAAATCTTTATTATGTTCCCATTTTGTTATTGAGAAAATCAAGATTCTCATTCACTAAGCAATTTTCCCAAGAGTATACCAAAAGAGGGATATGGCCCAACTAAGTGTGTCTTAACCCAAAAAGTAGGAAGAAGAAGAACAGACATGGATGACCAAAAAACTCTAAAATCAGACTTAATCCTCTTCTCCCATGGAAATTGAGTATTTGCCTAAGAGTCTAAGAAGGCTGTGATTTTAAAAGTTGAGCCTTGGATCTACAGAAAGGGTAATTCTCTTCCCCTGTGAAGGACAGCATGATGTGTTGAGAAGAGAACAAAATTTGGAGTTAGAAAGTTCCCGATTCAAATATTGATTCTGATTCTTCCCAGGTATGTGGCAAGTTGGGCAACTTGCTTAATCTCTGTGAACCTCACTTTGCTCACCCATAAAATAATCATGGCTGTACCCAACGTGCATGGCTGATGGAAGGATTAGAGCTAATGTATGAGGTGAGCCAGGCATGCATGTGGCACAAATCCAGTGTGGCTGCATCTGTACCGTTATGACCTGCCACCTAATTGCTGGTTATGTGCATTAAACAATTTTGTCCACAAATCAGAGGGAACCCCAGGACCTTACTATGAGTCAGACAGAAAAGGACTAAGACAATTTCAGAACTAGATGTTGAGAAAGATATTGAAATTAGCCAAGTGTTCTCATGACTTGAAAGTAGAAAGGACCTGATTATCCAAAGAACTGCAGGGAGATTTCTTTGATTCCATCAATCATAAAGATGCTTTAGAATGTAGGGTGGCAGCAAAACAAATTCATAACAAAGAACACAGGATTTGCCATCCGATCATTAGCGTTTGAAACCTCAATCTCCACTTCCTAAACTGGGTGACCCTAGACAAACTCATCTTCCAGACATCCAAATTCCTCACTGGTAAAAAATAAGAATACTTACTTGCAGGGCTGTTTTCAGGATTAAATAAGATAATATATCCAAAGCCTCAAAGTCTTTAGTGGAATGGATAAGTACAATATGCTGTGAATGTTCCAAACAAGACTGTAACGAAATCAGAAATAACAAAGTAGATTTACCTACATAACATGGACAAATCATAAAAACATAGGATGTGTGGAAAAAGAGAGAAACAAAATGGGATTTACAGCACAAGATAATGTATGTAAATTTTACAATACCAAAATCACTATATTTTTCAAAGATATACATTTCTAAATAAATATAAAAGGAATAAACATGGAAGGATATATACTTCGCACGTGCTAGAGTGGACACCTATGAGGAGCTGGGCGAGGAGCTGGGCAAGGTGTGGGGATGGAGAGAGAAGGAGGGAAAGCAATGAAACAAAATGGAAAAGGGCCTTGAACTGATCCATAAGGGTACTTTATCAAGAACTGAGGAGTATGGTTAACTCAATTTTGGACTCAAGGTCCCCTAATATTATGTTTAAGTACTATAATCACTTGAAATAGTGCCTGCATGTTTTATATGCTCAGTAATGAGTAACTAAAGAGTATGCATGTTTCTAATCACACAGATACTAGGAAAATCCTTTCAAAACCCATTTACTTAGACATACAAATCACAGATTGTGAGAGGCAAAAGAACTTTAATGGTCATATAATGTAGCCCCACCATTTTCCAGAACAGAAAGTAAAGCCCAAGGAGGAGAAGTGAACTTTTGAAGGTTAATCAGCTAGTTAGTATCTGTCCCAGAGATGGTAACCATGGAGCTGACCATATCATGAGGGCCTTCCAAAGAAGCTAACTCATCCCCACTGTGCTGCTGGAGTGGGGTGGAGGGAACAGTGCTAAGAGGCCACGTTTTATATATGTCACTGTCTCCCTCCCACTAGTGACCCCACATTAGAGCTGGAGGAGACCTCTGACCCAAGAGTAAAGTGGTAAAGATTAAAGTGAAGAGAAAGACTTTTGGATATCTCTTTTTTAATTACTGAGATATAATTGACATATAAAATTGTGTAAGTTTAAGATGTACAACTTGATGTTTTGATGCATTTCTGTACTACAAAATGATTACCACAATAGCATTAGTCAGCACCTCATTCATGGCCCATAATATCATGTCTTTTTGTGGTGAGAACAAGTAAGAACTAGTCTTTTAGCAAATTTGAAGTTTATGCTACAGTATTATTGACTGTAATTACTATATTGTGCCGTAGAAATCAAGAACTTGTATCTACTAGTTACAAGTTTGTACCCATAAACAACCTCTTTTAATACCATCTTACTAGGTAATTGTTTGACCACACGTTGGATAATTAGAATTATATATAATTGCAATTATATAATTATACAATAAGAAAAAATATATTAATGGGTAATATAAGAGAATAGTCAACATAAAGAACAGCTTCATCATCTTCCACTTCTGAAAGGTTTTCATGAGAAGAGGGGATTAAAATGCTTGTGTCTGGAAGAGGTAAAACTAAAGCCAATGAGGGAAAATAAAGAGAGAGAATCCAGATGCAAAAAGAGAATTAACAGGTAGAACTGTGCACCGATGGAGGCTCACACAGCTGGATACCATGGAGAGTATGCAGTTGAGGAGACTTCAGCATCCGATGGGGATTGAAACAGATGCTGACTAGATGCTTTCCAAATCTGAGAGTCTGTGTGTCTCTTATCATCACAGAAATTTCCAAATATAAACCAGAATTAATTTGAATTAGGAACACCAGCTCATGGCTCAGCTCCACAAAATGCAAGATAAGACCATAGATGCCCAAGGAGAATCAGCCAGGTACAGGATTTCTCAAAAACAAGCTCTATAAATTGACCCAGAAAAATAAACCCAACTTCTACCATAGCGAGAAAGAATCTATCCTTCAATTCCAGAAATTTTTTATTTTACTCTCATCCTCGGCTCAATAATCAACACTGAATCCATGGCCAAGAATAATCTCACCACAGTAACTGAGTTCATTCTCATGGGCTTTACTGATTACTCCAAGTTGGAGATTCCCCTGTTCGTGATGTTTCTGAGTTTCTATGTGGTCACCCTTCTGGGAAATGTGGGGATGATCATTCTGATTCAAGTGGATGTCCAACTCCACACCCCAATGTACTTCTTCCTGAGCCACCTCTCCCTGCTAGATGCCTGCTACACCTCGGTCATCACCCCTCAGATCCTGGCCACACTGCCCACAGGCAAGATTGTCATCTCTTATAGTCAGTGTGCTGCCCAGTTCTTTTTCTTCACCATTTGTGCAGGTACTGAGTGTTTCCTTCTGGCAGTGATGGCCTATGACCGCTATGTCGCTATTAGCAACCCACTGCTCTACACTGTGGTCATGAACCCCAGAATCTGCTGGAGTTTGGTGCTGGGAGCCTATGTCTGTGGGATGTTGGGGGCCATCTTGCGTACCACATGCACCTTCACCCTCCCCTTCTGTGACAACAATAAGATCAACTTCTTTTTCTGCGACCTCCCACCTCTGTTGAAACTCGCCTGCAGTGACACAACAAACAGTGAGATTGTCATTGTCTTCTTTGGAAACTTTGTGATTTTGGCCAATGCCTTGGTCATCCTGATTTCCTACATGCCCATCATCAAGGCCATTTTGAGAGTGAAGTCTTCAAGTGGCAGGGCCAAGACTTTCTCCACATGTGCCTCTCACCTCACTGCTGTGGCCATTTTCTTTGGGACTCTCATCTTCATGTATCTGTGGAGTGGTTCAGGCAAATCCCTGGAGGAAGACAAGGTTGTGTCTGTCTTCTACACTGTGGTCATCCCCATGCTGAACCCTCTGATCTACAGCCTGAGAAACAAGGATGTGAAGGCAGCATTCAAAAAGGTCACTGGTAGATTCCAGGGGTCCCAGAGCATGTAGATCTGAGTGAGAGGAATTCTCCTCTTGGTCCATTTTCTTTCCATATCAATATATCTAGTAGGCACCAGTACTATATGCAACTTGTACCTACAAACAGAGAAAAGGTAGACACGTGCCACTGTGGCACACAAGAAAAACTGCAAATGTGGTAAAATTTGTCTCCAGCAATCCAATAGTACTTTCTTTTTCAATTCCTCTCCCACCTCCAGTCCATTCCTTAGCTCCCAAAAGTCTTATGCTGCACTCTGACATCGTTACCTGTAGAATCTTCAAGACACTTAACAATGCCTGATACATAGGTTTGGTGTTTTTCCCCTGCCCCCATTAGAATGTAAGTTTCATGAAGCAAAAACTGTCTGCTATTTTTAGCATATCTCATGACTCACAGTAGATGCTCAATAAATATCTGTTGAAAAACAGAAAGAAGATATAAATGAATAGGATTTCCGTTTCCAGAAATACAATGGACTTGGATTTTCTAATCAACCTTGCCCCTGAAAAACAGGTGAAATATAAATAAAAAGGTAAAGAGATACTAAGAAATCCAAGGCTAAAACCCAAGGGAAAATCTGAACCTTAAGAAGTAAGCAGTGTCTTGAAGCTGTTGGCCATCAAGAATATCTCCCTGTGAGGACATTTTTGTTGGTGATGGTGTCAATGAGTCAATTCCAACTCCCAGCCATCTTGTGTACAGCAGACCGTAACCCAGCCATTCTGGTTGTTTTGCGCCATCCTCTTACCTTCTCGTGGTGTATCAGGCAATGCTCCGCTGTTATTCATAGAGTTTTCATAGCCAATTTTTTCTGAAGTGGGTGGCCAGGTCCTTCTTCCTAGCCTGTCATAGTCTGGAAGCTCCACTGAAACCTGTTCACCATTGGTTACTCTGCTGGTATTTGAAATACCGGTGGCATAGCTTTCAGCTTCATGGCAAAATGCAGCCACCACAGTCTGACCACCAACAGGCAGGTGATGTGGATCCCTGCCTGGGAAATGAACCCAGGCCATGGCAGTGAGAGCATGGAATCAGAACCACTAGACCACCAGGCCTGGCTTGAGGGTATATTAGTTGTCTATTGCTGTTAACTTGGTAGCTTAAAGCAAACATTTACTATCACACAGTTTCTGTGGGTCAGGAATCCAGGCACGGGTTAGTTAGATGGCTCTGACTCAGGGTCGCTCACAAAGCTGTAATTAAGATGTTGGCCAGGGATACAGTCATCTTGAGGTCAACTGAGGGGAGATCCACTCCCAAGATCGCTCACATGACTGCTGGCATGCATCGAGTCCTTTCCAGCTGTTGACCAAATATGTCAGTTCCTTGCTACATGGTCCTCTCCTTAGGGCAACTCACATTATGATGGCTGATCTTCATGAACGAATCCCGAAGACGGACACAACAGTCTTTTCGGAACCTAATCTCAGATGCAATATCCCACCACATTTTATTTACTAAAGGTAAGTCACCAAATCTAGGCCATACTCAAAGGTAACCATAACATGAAGGCAGAAGGTGGCCCCAAAGTTTCTGGAATATGAAACACTCAAAACTCTTGGGTAGAGGAGAGACCCTATAGGATGGAAAAAAAAATAAAATATATATATATATATGAGATTTAATATCCTTCTAAGCTTGACATAAAATGAACTGATACAGATTTATGTAATTTAGAAAACGTTAACAAGGATGTGTGGTATTTCTTGTTCCTGTACACAGTACACACATACCTATGACTCCAAGCCTATACCCATCCACGAGACATGAGACCTCTCTTCCATTCACTCAGTCCCTTTGTTAGTCCTTTAGTTTTCCCTTTCCTTGCTTTTTTTTAAATTAATGCTCATGTAGAAGGTTATTGGTAATTATTTATATAGGTCTTTTTACTGGGAAACTTTGCTAAACTCCAATAGTTGTCAGTTCATTTTTTTGGAATTTCATTATAAATAAAATTTTCTCTGCATATTTTCTTTAGAAGTTATGTGGAAGTTCTTATCCTCACATGTGATTGAAAAAATTTGTATCCCAAACACTGCTGTCCACTTAGCATTATATCCTGGGCGTTTTCCACCCTAGTGATCATATGAGGTCCACCCCACTCAATATGTCCCAGAACCACTGCCCATTCCACAGAGATGCCCTACTGTTGAGTCACTATTTTGCAACTGCAGCCTGCTCCACAGTAAATGAGGCAGTGCCACAGTAAATTAGCTTTGCCCCAAAGTGCTAAACTCTCAAATCACACCCACCTTCCACCATCATCCACCAATACCCCTGAATGGAAACGATCTCCCTCATCTGCTACTTTGTACATCTGGCGCTATCACCCACCACCAATGATGTGGCCCTGCCCACCAGAAAGATTCTTCATTCACTTATCATGGCTTCCACACAGACTCATCCCCAACCTGGGAGAATGGAGACGAGTTTATGCCCCTGAACCTCTGTGGCGGTCCAAGTTTGAATCCCTTAACTCAGGGGAAATTCGTCAGCTTGCTGTGTGGCTCAGGGCCCTTCCCAACACCACCCATGCAACATCGAAGAACTAAAGCAAATGTATGCACTGTGAGATGCTTACATTTGAACCCCAGCTACCCACATCCAAAATATCCTATTACACTTAAATGATTTTGGTCACTTTGGTATTTTCAGTTTATTTATTATGCAATGACAGTACAATGGCCATAGATCTTAGTAGATATTGATGATTATTTGCTTGAGATAACTTCCTAGAAGAACCATGGGGAGAAGGGCGTTTTTCACTTTAAGGAGCCTCATACAAATTAATAAAACTGATTTCAAGGTGCTCCCAGGCACTCCACAGTGTGTGAAGGAGCATGTTTCCCCACACTTCTGTCCATGTAGCTATTATGATCTTCTTCTAAATATTTGGTGATTATGAAAGAAAAAGGTAGCTCAGGGCTACATAAAATGTGTTTTTTAAATTTCTTGTGATGTTAAACATTTTTCATATGTTTATTTAGCCACTGTTATGTCTTCTGTTATCAATTTGGCATTCAAATTGTCCACTTTTCTAGTGAGATATTTGACTTTTCTGATGGAACTATATATAGAAACATTAAGAAACTCTCCTTTCATTTGTTTGACAAAGATTTATTGAGTGTCTAGTATATGCCAGGAACTGTTCTAGGCACTAGAGGTGCAGCAGTGAACAAAATGGATGAACTTCCCACCCTCAAAAATAGTGTTGTACAGAAATAGAGGTGGGTGACATGATAGGAACTGTGTGGGATAGTGGAGAGAAAGGGGACTCCTGGAGTCAGAAAAGCTCTCTCTGATGTGGCATTTATACTGGGAAGTGCATGAAAAGAAGACAAAAGAACATCTTTGCGTATGGAGAGCATTTCAGACAGAGAGGACAGCAAGTTAAAAGACGCTGAGAGAAATAAAATAGTTCAGTGGCTACCAGGAGAAGGGGGGTGGAGGGTGGGCACAGGGGGTGAAAGGGAGCACTTATGCGGTGACAGACAAGAAATAATGTACAACTGAAATTTCACAATGATGTAAACTATTATGAATCTCAATTTAAAAAATAAATAAAAATAAAAGACTCTGAGTTAGGAACAAGCTGGGCTTTCAAGGAAGAGACACAAGGGAGTAGGGATGAAGAAGAGAAATAGGCAGAGAGCAGATCTCACAAGCCAGAGTAAGAAATTAGGTTTTTTTAAAAGTGCAATAGGAAACCAATGGAGAGTTTTTAAAAAGGAAGTTATAGGGGGTTTTTTTGGAGGAAGATTAGCTTTAAGCTAACATCTACTACCAATCCTCCTCTTTTTGCCAAGGAAGACTGTCCTGAGATAACATCTGTACTCATCTTCCTCTACTTTATATGTGGGATGCCCGCCACAGCATGGCTTGACAAGTGGTGCCTAGGTCCACACCCGGGATCCAAACTGGTGAACCCCAGGCCGCTGAAGCAGAACATGCAAACTTAACTGCTGCACCACCAGGCCAGCCCAAGGAAGTTTTAGAATTTGATGTAGGTTTAAAACAATTTCTCCAGATTCTATGAGGAATTTGGATTATAGGGAGGTAAGAAAAGGTGGTGTATATATGTGTATATATAGAGAGAGAGAGAATGAAATATTATCCAGCCGTTAGAAGGAAGGAAATCCTGCCATTTGTGACAACATGAATGGAACTTGAGGGCATTATGCTAAGTGAGGTAAGTCTGACAGCAAAAGACATATACTGTATGATCTCACTTATATATGGGATCTAAAAAGCGTTACTCTCTATTCTGTCCCATTGGTCTACATGACTATGTTTATTCCAGTCACATTCTGTTTTGATTACTATTGCTTTTCAATGTAGTTCGAAATCAGGAAATGTGATGTCTCCAGCTTTGTTCTTCTTTCTTAGGATTACTTTGGCTATTCAGGGTCTCTGTTTGTTCCATACAAATTTTAGGATTGTTTACGCTATTTCTTTGAAAAACACCATTGGAATTTTTATAAGAATTGCATTGAAGCCAGTCTTTCTTGGTCTACTTAACACCTCTCTGGGTTGTATCTACTCCACATAGTAGCATCAGAAGCCCCAGATATAAATACTCAAAAGTCTATGAGGAAAAAAGAGCATCCTTAAGTATCCCAGTTACCAAATCAGTACAACCACCTGTAGCTGCTGTGAGTGTTGGCTGCTAAAGATTCACATTAGCAACCTTCACTGGAGTACTGTCCTCAGCCAAGGGATCTACTTCACCCAGAAATGCCTAGGGAGTCATGCCCCACCTCTCGGGAACAGCTCACAGTCAATGGATAATCAAAATGGTCTTCACAGGACAAAACCCCTTGCCTAGAGGCAGAACCAAGCTCAAGGTATAACTCACACTCCAGAGTCCCCTTAAGGATTAGGTCAAATCTAGATTCCAACAGAAATCACATCTTCACTTATCTGCTTCCTGCTTCCTTCACTCCCTCACAGGGTTCTTCTGTGAAACACTGACCCAAAAACCCCAGTATTGGGTCTTTTTTAAGGAACCCAAACTAACACATATCTCTTCCCAAAAGTCCAAACAAAGGTTCTAGGCTTGG